TATATAAGCATACGGGACTGAATAAACATGGTCATGGGCAATGCAAGATGAACTATAGGACTATTCATGTGGCTTAGAAATGTAAGCAGTGAACGCGGCGTAGCATAAATGACACGAAACAATTTGACCTAAAGCCATATTTGAGTAAGGCAGTTCGCGTGTTCTTGGACCGGGTTTAATCGTTATGATTGCTTTCAGTATGCTCGCACACATATGTAAGTCAGTATGTTTTTCAACACTCCACTGACGTTCAACGTTGCAGTTTAATGGGTATAGAGAACAATCAATAAACTGGAAATATTTACAATGTAATTTAACTATTTCGAAACATGTTAGGAGGAAAACGTTCCAAAACGAATGTGACACTGAGGCTGGCAGTGTTCGATCGAAACTGCTATTCTGAGTCAGCTGAAGTTGGTGTTTCGAGAGATTGAAACTTCAATGAGATTAAAATCTGTTTTTGCTCTGTTCATGTTAGCAGCGTGTAATTAAGCAATTCGCGATTCATAAAGAATGTTTGGCATGGTTTTACGCAGTACTCATTGTTACCTAATAAATAACGGAAAATTATCACAAAAATATTACTAACACCGATAGCAATTAGTAATAACGACGCATGCTAAGTGAGAAAATAAAAAAGCATCGAGATTGCCTTGAAACTGACGAAAAGGTGTGAAAGGCAAATGTAGTGGTGATACGGTGATAAATGGGAAATTTCATAATCATTTTTCGAGCTCGTTCAAGAGACAGGCTTAATATACGGCAGAATACTGTACAGTATTCCGCCGCATTCTTTGTGCAAAGAGCAAAAAGAACATTCGATTGATTGATTGACTACAGTGATCGGAACTTTGAACAGCCGGATATACTCAGTACGGGATTTAAGCAGCTAATGAGATCTATGAGAATAACCGTTACGGACTATAAATAACGAGCGTTTTTGGTACCATATGGCACCCAGTTTGATAAATGGTCGGAACATATGCATGAAAAAAGGACAGATGAGTAAATCGATAAATGTGCATAACATATTTTTTTAAAGGACGAAATCTCCGGTTTTTTTTTATTAAAGTTTTAGCTGGGTAGAGGCGTGTCGCAATACGAGAAATCTGACGATAAATCAGAGGCACTGCATGACCACCTACGCGAATAGCTGTACATTACTATAATGACCATTCTAACTACGGGTGTTATCAATGCATAAGAATATACTAAAAAGCCATGAGATTATACAACTAATGAGGATGATTTTTCGGCAGATTTTCAATCGCGCGAAAGTTCACGTCCCTCGTCAACACCGAACGAACTGCCTGTAGAGCTATACATTTTGTCTTTCTTGAAAGCGCAGTTAGTCCTAACGAGGCTTTCCAGGCACGAATAATGGCTTTCGTGCAAATTGGGCAAATTTAGTTGTTGAGCTGTTAAAAAGAATTGGCGGCAATTCTGAAAGCTGGCGTTGTAGGCTGCTAGATGCAAGTGAGTGGAATTTCATTGTATAATAACTGTGTTTGCCTACGCGGCTATTTGATGTCGACAAACGAATTGTTAACGAAACTTTTCGTTGAGAAGTTCCGATGGAATACATAGTACTTTCTATTGATATGACGAACGAAAAGCGGCATCTCGTATCTTAATAAAGAGTAGTGAACATCCAACGATTGCTTACGAGCGCAATGAAAGAAAAATTGAGCAGTTAAGAACCTGAATTAAAAAAAAAATTAGGACTTTCAGCTCACTTAAGCTCACCTACGCGATCGTTGGCAGCTTTTACAAAGCGTTATTTGAGAATGCCTTACGGCGAATCTGCGAAGGGACAACCGGAGTAACCGTTAAATAAAGTATAATTTACAATGAACTGCACTACGTCGAATTTTGGCTTAGGTATCTGTTAGATACTGCGTGTTGGCAGTCCTGTGGCGTGTAATTGGACATTTACGAAAACGTTCTGCGGAATACGTTCACGTATACGCGCACTCTAGGCCGGACCTGCTAAGGCGCGTGGTACTAGGTGAACGTTTTAGGCTAGGTCCCTTGTTTCATTAATTGCCGATTGAATACGAGAGTGATGACGAATATTTGCAGCAATTCCAGCAAAGCCAAATGTTGAATAATTCTCCCCATTTTCACCCAAGATACCTATTGAAAATAAGTTATTTGTAGATAATTTGTTGACCATTTAACTTTGCATAACGCAATACATATAAAGATAGTTTGTCTCAAACGATTGTGAATAGTGATAGTGCCTTCCCTTAGAATCCACAGGTAGTTCAAGATTAAATCAATGCAAAGATCGGCAGAAAAATTCGCAGAAAGCTGAACGTATATATATATACATATATACACGTATACGCTACTTGTGTATGTACCCTACTCTTCTCGCTGTCGTGAATTCATATGACGACGGCAAAGTCAGCGACAGAAATAGCAGCAACAGCAGCTTTTGATTTGATTTCGTTTTCTTTCTACTTCTGATCTGTCTTGTACTTTTCACCACCACCACTGCTCTAGTTGCCGTCACTGTCGATGTTGTTGTGGGTATCAGCGTCGCCCTCGTAAACTCGTTAATAGGTCACGACGATTCGTTTTTCTTTGCAAATGATATGCCGGTTGAAATCGCTATTTCTGCTGCTGATGCCACTGCCGTAACGAAGGGGCTTGCTGCTGCTAATGTTGTTCCTGTTCGACGCTGGCATGTCCTGCCACCGCCGAAACTTTGCGGGTGAAAATAGATTGAACTGAATATGATTGGCCAGCGGCTGCGATGAGTGCCGATGCCACAGGTTACAAATGTCCATGCAAATCCCCACCAGCGACCGCAGCTACCGTTTCGGTCACCGCCAATCGGCAATTAGCTGTTGGCAGTCAGCCACACTGCCGTTCATCTTAACGTTTTCTTAATCGAATTGCCGCTGCTGGAGTCGCGCAACAACCACGTTTTCGAACGGGGTTGTGACTGACTGATCAGAGGGGACCTGGCGCGAAACCACGCCACGGGCCGAGTTCCAACGTTGTCTGTGCGTAGTAAAAAAAAAAAACGTATTGCTATCTATCTATACGAGCGAATGAACGAACGAACAACAACAACAGCAGCAGTAGTAACAATAACAACAACAAATCTCGGATTGTTCTGTAATACTGTCATTTTTGTCATCGGTCTCCATTTGATTATTCAGGATAACAAACGGATAGTCTCGCTTTTAGCATGCGATAAAAAAAAATTGCAATCGTTCTATTTAACGCTGTACCGCTGCAGCATGTTCGTACGGTATTAATCTGTATTTTTCTACCTATTGAATGCGTTTGCAAAATGAAAATGTAAAAGCCACTCGAAAAGACGACTGCTCTGATTGAAAATACAACCAGGCAGTCTTCATATGTATGTTACATATATTTTTGTTCTTTGTGTGGATGCCAATGCAGCTTACTTTAATGATACTAATGAAGGTTACGTTATTCGACGAATATAATCCGTTCTAAAAATGTTTATCGAGATCAACAGAAGAAAATACGAATTTCGTTTTTAGAGAGCACAAATAATGTTCGATTTTGAGATATCATCATATGGATACCGTTTTTACATGCAACAAGAATTATTTATGAGCCTTTGGTCTTTAGGGAACCGATTCAACGGCGCTCGTAGTTCCGAGTCTGCGGAGCGGATTTACCCTAAAAACGACTCGAGAACGAAGTCCAGAAGTTAATCAGAGTTATGAGATTATAATCGCAACCCAACCTCACAGTACAATGCGGTCATCACCAGCGTCAGCACAATAAGACAATGTAGTCTAGATAATTATGGTAGACAGACCTTCTGCGGCAGTTAACGCAGTCACTGTTATTATTTATTTTTATACGGTTATTGAACGTTAGAGAATCAAGACCAGTTTGCTGTTGCCCATGCGCCTCTGTGCCCGCGCACGTTCTTCTGCAGCAGCGTCTGTCGTGTTTCGCCCCTGTGGCTCTGTTCTAAATCCAGATACGGAAGAAGCGGGTTAGCGTGTCAATGGCGACCACTAGAATAGTGAATCATTTAGTAACAGTGGACGGGTTCCGTGAACTGATAGCGAATCTTAGGCAAACCTAGGCCATAGACCCATCCTCACGGTCTCGTTAGCGCATTTACTATTATTGCTATCCATAATGATTGTGGTATAATATTACTATACTACTATATAAAGCTCCACGTGCTAGATCTTGTATATATACCGGGATTGCTGCAGCTGGCAAAAAGCATGTAGGTTTGTCCACAAGTTTATCGTTTGTCATCGATCGATGAATCTGCAATTATAGGAGTCAATTAGCATGGAACTAATGACTGTTATATGTCTGTAGGAAAAAACTGTACACTCAGGAAAAGAGCCATTAGAAGAGGCTGACGTCTAACGGTTTGAAGAACAATGA